GAGACCCCAAAAGCCCCCACAGACTCCACTAAGGTCCCCCAGGAGCCCCCAAATCCCTCTGGGACTCCAACCCTCCAAATCCTCTACAGGACCCCCCCCGCAAATCGCAAATGCCCCCAAATCCTCCTCAGGAGCCCCCCAAAACGGTCCCCCACCTTACCTTGGCCACCTCTGCCTGCAGCTGGGCCACCTCCGCCTGCAAGAGACCCTGTGAGATCCCCAGAGAGCCCTTCCATCATCTCTATTTCATCTATACATTTCCTGTTCGTAGTTTCTTACATCTCTATGATCCATCCAACTATTTTCTCTTTTCAACTTTACTTTTATTCTATGTTTTTCTGAAGCTCTTTTTATCACAACTCACAACCCCTAAACGGACGCAAACCCCGCTATGCGTCGTGCTCCCTTGTCTGTCATATCCTCCCACAATCCTCCTGATCCCCTATAGACCCCCAAACCCCACTCCTCTATAATCTGTATTTTTCCCCACATCCATTCCCCCCGACAACTACCCCCCACACACCCATATTTCTCCCAAAACTCCCCTCGCTCATACCTCTGAACCTTCTTTAGCCCCCCCAAATCCTTTATAGACCCTCCGAGCCCCCCATACTCCCCCCACAACATACCTGAGCAGTGGGTGCTGGGGGTTCCCTGGCAGGAGTGTCGCCCCCGGCCCCCTCCTCTGCCAGTTGCACCTCCTTGGGGGGCTCCGGGGGGACTGTGAGGGTGGCAGTCAGATCCACGGTGCCCCACAGGGCCCCATAAACCCCCCCAGCCCCATAGGGACCCACAGAATCCTCATATCCACCTAATAGGCACCCTATGCCCCATAGACACCCAATATTCCGCTCCATAAGCATCCATACTGCTGCACGGACAATGATAAGAGCCACACACACACTCAACTCCCCCATGGAGCCCCCCCCCAGACCTCTGGGACCCCAACATCCCCCAGGAAGGATCCCAGAACATCCCCAAACCCCCCAGGGACCGTCAACCCCTGCCCCAAGAGCCCAACACACCCCCAGCTCCCACCACACCCCCCCCAGGCTCCCCCTCACCATCTGTAGGTGTCCCGCTGTCACCGGTGGCCCCATCATGGGGGGGCTCCACGGAGGCCAGGGGGTCACGGGGGGGTGCTGGGGGCCCCCCATTCCGCAGCTGCCGGTTCTCCTCCTCCAGTGCCTCGATCTGCGCACACAGCTGGGACCCCCTCCCAGGTCAGGCACCCATGGGACACCCCAGACCCCCCACAGGACCATGGAACCCCCATGGGGCCCAAAGAGACCCTCCGAGACCCCCCACAAGGGGTTGCAGAGCCCCCGTGGTGACACTGGACACCCAAATGGACCCCAAAATGACACCAAGAGACACACCACACCCCTGTCCCAGATCCCGAAAGTGACACTGGGGACCCCCAGGGACCCTCTGGTTTCCCCCCCCCCAGTAAGGCAAAACCCCCCAGAATAACATTAGAGACCCCCAAGCAACATCTAAGGGGATAGCGGGAGGCTCAGGGCGGCATTAGGGACTCATGGGATGGCCTAGGGGACATTGGGGTCCCCTGGGTGGCCCAGGGCCCCCACCTTGGCCAGCTCACGCAAGAGAGTGCTGTTCTGGAGACGGAAATCATCCTCCTGGCTCTGGAGCTTCCCCTGCAGCATCCGCGTCTCCCCCAGCAGTGCCTCCACCTCCTGGGGGGGGGCTCCCACCACTGGTACCCTGTGGCTGGGACCCCCAGAACTCCCCGCAGGCCCCCTGCAGACCCCCCCAGATCCCATAGCAACGTCCACAGCACCCACAGGGACCCCTCGCACCCCCCAGCACCTACATAGACTCTATGAAGATCCACAGGACTCACCCAGGAGCCCCTCAAGATCTCCTGGGACCCCCCAGTCCCCCTAGAGACTCCCCAGGGACCACCCAGGACCCCCAGGAATCTGCCCAGCATCCCTACAGACTCCCTAGGACCCCCCAGCACCCTTGTAGACACCCCAGGGACCCTACCAGCACTCACAGGGACCCCTTAAGAACGCCCCAGCACCCCTAGAGAGCCCCCAGGATCCCCCAGCACATCCAAGAACACCCCCCCCTAGTATCCTGAGAGACCCTCTAGGGCCCCCCA